ATAAACGACGCGTTAAATTTGAGCTCCGGTAAATTCTATTTTTTTCGTAAAATCTTTTTCCGCGGACGCCGAAATTTAGTTAAATAGTAAGCTGACCTATTCTACGCCATGTTAGGGTAGGTGCCAATAGCGGCACATCACGGCCAAACCGGCAATCGCCGATTGAGTTTGACATGCGTTGCGTTGCTTTGATTTGTGTTGATAGCTCATATTAAGGAATAGGGGATAGTTATATTGTGGCGGGTTGGAAGTTAACGATACTTTGTTCCCCACTACATTCCATCACAATTACTTGTGTATTACACATCACCAATTTAGAAGTTACTGTGTAATTCTGGCCATGTTTTTTTCCTACTTGAGTCTTTATAATTTTTTTTTCGTCCCTCACCCTGCTTTGTAATAACGACCGAACTCATCCGAGAACGTCCGATCATGACTAATTAAATATTCACGTCCAGTAATCCCCCCATAAACCCGTCAAGTGTTATCTGTTGACCAAATAGTCGGCAGAAGTCATGGTAACAATAGCATCAAAGGGAGTTCACTCTCCTTCTTTTTTTAGCTCCATGGTTCACACAATATTTCGACATTGAATGGATATCTAAGCTGTAAGGAATTATTTTAAGTTTCTTTTCTGCTTGATCTCATAACAAAACTTATATGTTATTTATTCGCTTCTTTAAGTTTTACGTTCTAATGAGAATGTTTTGGAAATTCCAATACGAAAAAACAAGCGACTTGTATACATGAGAGTAACACCCCCTGAAGAGGTTACAGATAGTCACGTGAGAATCATCACTCCCTTCGTTTGATCAATGTAAACAGTGAAACACATTGATATGCGAGGTCTTCGCTTCGTAAACTGCTGTGACTGTGAATCATTTCGTTAGAGTCATTCAGAGGTTCCGAACGCTTCCGCAAGTGGCGCAAAAATAGCCTGACTTGTCTGGTGAAATTACGACGCAAGCTCAGAACAGTGTGTCGTACAAGACGCAAGTTACTGAAACTCGACCAACCTCTAGACAAGGCAAGATGAGCGAAAAACAACCACTGTTAAGGTATTATTTATTCCTAAGGCGTCGATATAGGGTCATGCCGAGGACAACAGAGTACACCATATAATAAAATTCACGACAACAGCATGCTTTACCACACGTTTCTGATTTCACTTCCGGGTTTAATCTTGTATACGTTACCACCGTTGAGGGACGGTGACGTTACGTGGCTTGTTCACGCCCTTGAAAACCTCTACATTCTTGGGGTTATCATGCATATACCGTATTTGTTCTATTAATTAGTAGCGCATATTTTTGCACTTATAATAATGAAAGTAGTGTAACTATAATCCAAAAAATAAGTCATAATGATTTAGTACTGTAAAATGACTAATTTTCACTGGGTTTAAATTTCACTGATTTACCATTTCAGGCATATTCAGTGGGTTTTAAATTCACGGTTTCGTCATTTAGATAATGCGTTCTATGCTAAATTTTACATATTCACTGTGTTTTAATTTAGCGCATTAAGCTAAATTAAAACCCAGTGAATAATTACCCCCTTTACAGTATACAATAAATCCAATTGTTATGCCCTTCTAATAAAGTAAATACAGTATTTGTTTTTCTGTAAATACATGTACAGAATATGACAGTGAACATCATACTATGATACCTGGCACATACCACTGTCTATATATACCAGAATAAATTGCACTCCTGTTGCTTTATTGGTGGAGGGGTGGAGTAGGATTACTAAATGAATTATTTGATGGTTAGAATTTTCAAAAATGACAGGAAATAAATGTACTAATAAATGCATATAAACTGAATGTTGGCGATATCTTTGGCTGACTATTTGATTGATTGTACAGATTTACAGACATTCAGTTCTGTTTCACTGCAGTACTCTCAGCAATATTCATTAAGAATACAAAAGTACTACCAATTTGTTTTTTGTTGTACCATATTTACTTTATTAGTATTGCGTATACTTTAATACATACATAACAGAGGTGAGTCTATGTTCACAATAAATCATATTTTAATAATCCAAAATACATAATATCTCAGACCACCAATAAACGGACTGGCAATGCTATTGTTTAGAGGTGTCAATCAACATAATCCCCGGCGAACGTGTGTCTCGGCTATGCTGGTGGCTCACGTTTGGTGAATTTTGCCGAATGGCGAGTACACACATCTGAAATCCTCAGTCTCGCATGCATTTCAGTCATTCTCTGTATTCAGTTCAGATCAGATCACCTGGAAATGACAGAATTTCCTTTGATTTGCCGAATAATATAATTTTTAGCCAAAATTTACCATATTTTAAGAAAGTAATGATTATTTTAATGTATATATAATGTATCTTTATATTAATGTTGAATGTATAATGAAGAAAAAGGAACGACTTTTACCGTAGCATATTGAAAGTATGATACATCAGGGCAAAAACTGTACCAGTCAATTAAATTTAGGCAAAATTAATATAACGGTTTCGAAATAGTACTGACGTGATGTTTTGATTTTGTACATTGTGTGTAGCAACTTCGCGTCAAGAGAACGCTCATTAATTATTTCCATCTGATTTATTTTCACTGCTATTTAGTTTGACCTTCAACTGAATTTTATACTTTCTGTTTTATTTTTACCTGGACCTGTTTTATGAATGTTAGTGGGCCTGTGAGAATCACTAATGCTAGGAAAATCTGAAACTTCGGTCTGACCTTTCATGTCACTTCTTGTTGAAACAGTTTCTCACAAAGTCGTGCATTATCATGTGACTTCTTGGACATTTTCTTATCTCCCCCGGTTGTTTATAAGATTAAAATGTTATTGCAATAGTAAACCCAAAACTCACGTAAGATCAAAAGAAATACCTGCATTGCCAGTCTGTTTATTAGTGGTCTGAGTTCTAGGAGAGCAAGTATGGCAAAGAATAAATATTAGTTTATAGTAATATTTTCAGTAACTGTTAATTTTTTAGCTCCGCTGGTGAATTTGTCAAGCGGAGCTTATCATAGGAGTGATTGTCTGTCATCATTATCAACCGTTGGCGTCCGTATCAACTTTTTACTTCTTTTTGAATATTATAGAAGTCTTATTCTCTGATACTTTGTGTATATATTTATTTTGATCGAACTAGTGAAATTAAATACCAGTAAAAATGATTGTTTTTTGAGTGTATGGACACTGTAGAATGTAGAGTGTATTATGTTGCCTCATCCAAGCTGTCATTTGAGGGCCAGTATTTTACTGTATCTTAATGTTTATTTATAGTGGACCTCCATACCCTGGCAATCCTCAAGGTCAACCACAATATCCAGGAACCCAGGGACAGCCACCATATCCATATCCATCGGCCCAAGGACAGCAACCATACCCACCAGCCCAGGGACAGCAACCATATCCACCAGCCCAGGGACAGCAACCATACCCACCAGCCCAGGGACAGCAACCATACTCACCACCTTCTGGGCAGTCTCCTTATCCAGCAGCAGGGGGCGCTACCCCTGGTTATCAGAGTGGATACCCAGCAGCCACTAGTGGAAATCATGTTGACACACCAACGTGGCAAGGTGAAGTTCCTGATGATGACCCAGATGAAAACCCAAATGTGCAGGTATGGTGGATCAATCAAGTAATATAATATAATATAATATAATATAATATAATATAATATAATATAATATAATATAATATAATATAATATAATATAATATAATATAATATAATATAATATAATATAATATAATATAATATAATATAATATAATATAATATAATATAATATAATATAATATAATATAATATAATATAATATAATATAATATAATATAATATAATATAATATAATATAATATAATATAATATAATATAATATAATATAATATAATATAATATAATATAATATAATATAATATAATATAATATAATATATATAATATAATATAATATATAATATAATATATATAATATAAT